ACTCTGTATACTCCTTCTTTTAATGCTTCCCAGATCATTCAACATTTTGTCCATAGCATTGTTAAGCATTGCAACTTGTGGTTGGAATTTGTTGTTTAGGTTTTTTAGCTTAAGGAATGCAGAGTGAGTTCAGCCCTTTTGATTTTCTGACTCCAGCTCCTTCCACATTTCATTCTACTACTTTGCTTTGTCTTCCCGAGCTGCCCTTTGAAATCTATTCAGCTCCTTAATGTCTTGATTTCTTCCTTCTGCTTTGGCTTCTTGATACTCTAGTGCAATATTCAGAGTCTCTTCTGACATCCATTTTGGTCTTCTCTTTTTCCTCTGTCTTTGTATTCTGCATTCTTCCTGGATGATATCCTTGATATCCTCCCACAGCTCATCTGGTCTTTGTTCAATTAGTGTTCAAGGCCTCAAACTTATTTCTGAGTTGGCTTTTAAATTCATGAAACATAGACTCAAGATCAAATTTTTTACTCCTGTGAATGTTATTTTACCTTCTTTAGCTTTTATTTGAACTTACATATGAGAAGTTGATGGTCTATTTCACAATCGGCACCTGGTTTAGTTTTCACTGCTAATGTTGAACTTCTTCAGCAGTTCCTTCCATGATGTAATCAATCTGATTCCTGTGCATATCATCAGGGGAAATCCATGTAGATGCCCTGCATTTGTTTCTTATAAAAGGTATTTGTGGGGAGCTCTGGTGGCCTAGTGGCAAGAAACTGTGCTGCCATCGTGAAGGCACCTGGTTCAAATCTACGAGATGCTCTGTGGAGAAGGAGGGGCAACCTCCTCCTGTGCTGGCCGGATCCTACTCGATGGTACAAACAAGTAAAAAAAAAAAGGTATTTCCAATGAATAAATCATCAATTGGGCAGAATTCTATTATTCTATCCCAGGCTCATTTCTGTCACCAAATCCATGTTTTCTGACTACTGATCCTTCTTCCTGGTTCCCAATTTTTGTATTCCAGTCACCCATTATTCATGCATCTTGGTTGCATGTTCAATCAGTTTCTCACAGGAAAAGTTGGTAGAAATCATCTATTTTTTCCTCTTTGGCTCTGGTTTTTGGTGCATAAATTTGAATGATAGTGGTGTTAACAGGCCTTCTTTGTATGGGTATGGATAGGATCCTATCACTCAAAACTTTGTATTTCAAGAAGGATTAACTGGCGAGCTCTGGTGGCCTATTGGCAAGAAGCTGCACTGCAATCACAGAGGTAAGCAGTTCAAATCCACCAGATGCTCTGCAGGAGAAGGAGGGACAATCTCTTCCTGTACCAGTCAGATCTGATTTGATGGTACACACACAAATAATAATAATAATAAATTGTTGTTGTTGTTGTTATGTGC